AACAGCGAACTGAACAAGATCCCGAGCAGCATCGAGAGATCTCGCCTCCGTCAATCAGGAGTATACTGGTACGGCACCAGTTGCAATCTGAAAGTTACTGAACTTCGAGAGGCCGTATAGGCGAAACTGCAGGCCGGACTGGATGCCGGAGCATCATCCCTGAACAACCCTACGAGATCTCACGACTCAATTGGATTCCACAGTCTGGCCAACGACTAGGTCGGAGAATTGTTTTCTCACAAACATTTGACAGATCGTGAGTTACGTCGATGCCCCCCCCCGGATGCTGGGACCGAACTAACTCATCAAATAGAGCGGAGCTGCGGGTCCACTTGTCACCTATGCCATTCAGAAGCCTCGACTTGAGTTTTCGCGGGAAAACGCTGATTGACCAATCAGGGGGCAGTGGAAGCAACAACTGACGCGAGATTCATACTTTTGTTAGGGAAAGGGATAGCCGCTCAACTGACCTTCAGGATCAGCTTTGGCCAGGCCATCCGATCAACCAACCAAGAAGCGCTAAGCTCGAGTTTCAACTAAGAGCTCATGTTTCGGAGTGCAAGTCGACAGCAATTGCCTCGGCTCGCCGGCTCAAATGGCACGGCTCACTTCGCGCTTGGAGGCAATTTCAAGTATGTACTTGAATGTTCTGCTCAAAAAATGGACAATATCTGGGGGGGGCTCAGGAAAATCGTCCGCTAAAGTTGGGCATTATAGAAGGTCAGCCTATACAATAACTCGCCTTTGCTCAGCTAAGTCCAATGACGGTCAGCGCAGGGGGGGGGTCGACCACATCCAGAAGCGGTTTACGATATTCTGAACAACTTCGACCTCTCAGTTTGTGAAGCAAGAATCATCCGGTTTGATGCCGAACACCTACTTGCCTGATTTACTGACTATGGAAGAGCGTTTTTTTGTTTAGCTTAGGTTCTCCGGGGCTTGCGACCGCCTCGTTAACTTGGCGCATGCACTCGCCCACCACCTGACGCTATCGAATTGGATCTGAGACTTTCCACATTCTGATCATGTGATGGATTGAGTGAGCACCTGAACGAGGGAAAACAATAAAATAAATAAACTGGCCTCTCCATGCTCCCCCTCTTCTCCCCCCCGGGTCCTTCTTTGCCCCTTTCCCCCCCCCTCCCCCCCCATCTTTCTTGTCTACCTCCTTTCTTCTCCCTTCTTCCCCCCCTCTCTCTTCCTTCCTCGTTTCTCCTCCCTCCCCTGACCAGAAGGTTTTGTGATCCTGACGTTTAGCCGCTGCGTACGATTTGCTCATCGAGACTTCGGACCGGCATCTCCCGAACTCCATGTTATCCTAGTCGACAACGAGATCCGCCTGATAATGCGCGAGAATATGTGCGTCTTGAGTTGTCCGAGTGAGGATCGATGATCCGTGATCTACATCACGCGGGGGCCAAAAATTTTCTCAGGGGATCCTACCCCACGAGGCCGGTCATAGACGCGCCATATTTTTAATAATCGTTTCTAGGGGTCTACTGTGTCCATAACATCTAAAGTGCTTCCACTTCACCCCACCCCCCCCGCCAAAGCCTCGCCCAATACCCGCACCTTCCCTCGTCCTCGGCATTGACCGTAAACAAACACCCGTCGCACCCGTGCCCAGCCACCGCCGCACCCAAAGCTCGAACCAACTCGGGGGCCGCTCCCGCTGAAAGGGGCGGATACAGCGGCACCGTCCCACTAGTCTGCGCTTTTAAGCGGGCCACTTCCCGCTCGTATAGGGCGGCGATCGGGCAAAGGACCTTCCGCCACCCCCGCCGCAGTCTCCGGCAAATCCAAATCCTCCACCCCGAACATGCGCCACACCAGAGCCAATACCTCGCTTTCGTCCAGCCCTTGGGCATGCCGACACAAAGCCGCAGTCCACTCCCGCGCCAAGTTGGTCACCCCGGTCGCCCAACCCACCACGCCTCCGTGCGAACTCCCCCCCGGTGAGAAAATCCGTCGCCTCTTCCCACTTGCCGTACCAATGCCCGCCCAACAGCCCTGTGGAGGCGGGAAACACATCGCTGCCAAAGACCTTATCGCGGCCCCCGGCCTCCTGCACGGCGGCGCGAAATTCCCCCATGCGCTCGGCTAGTATATGGGCCCGAAACTGCACCCAATCGAGCACAGCCCCATCCTGAGCCAACAAGCCCAGAAAATCCATCAAGCTCGGACGCCCCGCAGCCAAAGCCCGCACATCGGCCAAAGTCAATTGCGCTAGGCGCTGGCGCAGGGCCAGTACACTGCGCCGCATGGCCGCAAAATCGTAGCCCAAGCGGGCGGCTTCGTCTTGGCAGCTAGCACAGCCGCAGGCCATCAGGCTGTGCACATTGGCCGGAGCCGGATAGCGGGCGTGGTCCACGTCAAAGCCGTCGATCGCGTAGCGCTGAATCGCTTCGACCAAGCAGTCGCGCGTCCACTCGTTGATCGCCTTGCGGCTCGGACACAGGCCAATGCCCCACTCCTGATAGCGCCGATCTAATGGCCGCCCCTCCAGATCGCGCAGGGCAAATTCGGGATAGACCTCGCCGCCGTAGCTCCACAAGCCGATGTGCCCCCACACCTCGATCCCCGTGCTTTTACACGCCTCGATGACGCGCTGCAAGGGCGCATCGTCAAAGCCGCTGATAATCCCCGCCACCGGCGGGTACACGCCCTCCGCGCCGCTCGGCCAAGCATCGATACGCTGACGCCAGTCCTCAAAAGGCCCCCGCTGGGCCAACTCCGCCGAGGCGCTAAAACCCGAGGTATGGCACACCGGACTTTCGGGCATAATCGTCGTCAGGCCGACGGCGTCCTTGAGCTTTTGCAGGGACTCGGGATGCTGGGCCACGTATTCTGTTTGGCAAAACCAGATGCGGCGGGATTTATGAGTGGGCTTCATATTTTGTCTGGCTCCATCCAAGCGACCAATTGGCGCACGATGCGAAAGGTTAGGCCCCACAACAGCGGGCCGACCCGGGCCCCAACAGGTCGAGTGCTGGAAATGCCTGCTCTGCGCCACGGTGCCGCAGTCGGTACTGGGTCCGCTTACCGGGATCGCGCAATGGGTCGGCCCCCACCCAAAAGGCCGACTCGATCTCTTCGCTGAGGACCAAGGCCGCTGGCGTTGCCAAGCGATAGACGAAACCAGATACCACCACCGGCAGCATATGCCCGGTCAAATCGTCGACCCGGCCCCAATACTCGGCACTGGACAGATCGAGCCCGACCTCCTCCAAGGTCTCGCGCTCGGCCGCGGCTTGCGGCGAAGGGTCGTCCGCTCTCAATGCGCCCGCCGGGAAAGGCAATGTGCCCCGACCAAGGATCGTCCGGGTGCTGGGCGCGTTCGATAAAAAGCAACTGCAAGCCCCCCTGCGTCGGCCCCAGGACCACGGCCACGGCGGCCCGCGTCTTGTCCGTAGAGCCTACCAAGCAGGGCCGGTGCTGGGCAATTCCCACTTGCACCGCAGCCCAAACACCTATATCCACAGTCGCTTCCAATCGCTAAACGCTAAATATCGTCAAAGGGATAGAGTTTGCGGCCCAGCCGCTTAAAGGCCAGCTTGGCATCGGCCGGATCGTGTACCGACGGCTCGGAGATCACTTGGATCTGGCCAGCCCACGACTCATAACCAGCGCGGAAGTGAGCCGCGGACTTGATACCGATATAGCGCATCTGCTTCGGGTCCAAGCCCAAGGTGCGGGCAAATGCCGTGCAAAAAGGTTGCTCGCGCTTGTTCACCAACAGCACGTGTACCCCGCCCTGGCGGATGTGGGCCGAGGGCCCCATGGTGCCATCTAGGCCGGCGTACATAGGTCCGTCATAGCGAAAGCGGCCATCGCTCAAGGCCACCACCTCGGCCTGCATGGAGCAAGGCTCACCTTGCAACGGGGACGCCTTGCCGCCCACCTCTAAATCGATCACCGCACCGACGCCCGCTTGGTGGCAGGCGGCCACGGCTGCGGGATCGACGATGTACAGTACGCAGGCGTCTTGCAGATCGGCTGCCAAAAAAGTCCGCAATAGCCCAGTGCTGTCGCCGGGCGAACCGCCGCCGGTATTGTCGTTGCGATCGGCGAAGATCACGGGGAAACGCCCCGTCCCTGCGGCCGCTTGTAGTGCTTCCGCAGTAGAGGGCATGGCCAACTGCCAATCGGCCCGGCGCTCCCACAGCCAGGCGGCCAACTCGTCTGCGCAGGATTGGGCTAGGGCGGGATCGTTGTCGGTCGCTATATACACCGAGGCCCCCATATCGGGGATGTCAGCTAGGGGAAAGCAGGTGGCTATGGAGCCGCAGATTACGCCGGGCCGCGCCTCAATTTGGTGCAGGTATTCGATGGCCTGGCGCATGGGTGGATGGGCCGTCACTTGGTTCATGCCCCAGACTAGGGGCAATTGGTGCAAGGCCATGGTCGGCCGCAGGCCTTCCCGCACCATGCGCACCAGCACATCGGCGCACTCGCGGCCCCTCGGCGCCATATCGATCTCTGGATAGGTCTCCCGTCCAATCAGCACATCGGCGGCCTCGATCATGGCTTGGGAGACATTGGAGTGGATGTCCAGTTGCCCGACTATGGGCATATCCGGGCCGACCAAACGGCGCACTGCGGCGAGGATATGTCCTTCGGCGTCGTCAATGCCCTCGGCCACCATGGCCCCGTGCAATTCCAATAAAACCCCGTCGATAGCCCCCGCTGCCTCAATGCCGTCGACCAGTTCGCCCACGAGCCTATCGAAAATGGAGCGGGGCGTCGGGGCGCTGGGAAAAGCCTCGGCTAGCATCGTCGGCACTACTTCAAAGCCGTGCCCATCGGCCCCTTCGATGAAGCCACCGATGGGCGTATTGACCCCGGCAAAGCGCTCGACAATTTCCGCTCCGTGGAGATAGCTGCGCTCCCGGAAACTGTCCAACGTGGTGGCTACATTCGTGAAGGTACTGCTCTCGTGGGAAATGCCTCCGATCGCTACGCGCATCTGCTGCTCCTTTCGGTTTTGCTCGCCCGCCTTGTCACTTCGACTCCGACAGGCGGGCGAAGACTTCGCCTGCCGTCATGTCCTCAATGCGCAGCCGCTTGTCCCGCGCCTTGTGTCCCCGCACAATGTGCACCCGGCGCTTGGCGACCTTGAGCCGCTTTGCCAGCAGGGCCACCACCGCGTCGTTGGCCTTGCCGCCTTCCGGGGCCGCAGTAACCCGCGCTGTTACTTTGTCGCCGTCGATTTCGACGCTGTTGCGCCCGGCCTTCGGCTGCACCCTGATGTCAAACTCCATCAACAATTCGCCATCAATCAAGTCTATCGGCGCTGCTTCGTCTCCTATGAGCACAAGAGTCGCTGTATAGTAGACCGAATCCCGCATGGACACAAACCCACGGCCCGCTGCCAAGACGTCCTCTGCCCACGAGTTTCTTGGTTCGCCAAAGAAAACCATTACTTGGGTTCACAACCGCACTTATTTTGTGGTATTGTGATCCGCTAAAGAACGCCAAATCCACGAGCCGAGCCCATGCCCCAAATCGTCGTCGAAAACCTAGTCAAAACCTACCGCATTGCCGAGCGCCGCCCCGGACTTTGGGGTGCCTTGCGGGGCATTGTACAGCGCTCGCATCGCACCATTCGGGCGTTGGACGGCATCTCTTTCTCGCTGGAAACCGGCGAACTGGTCGGCTATATCGGGCCAAACGGGGCGGGCAAATCCACTACGGTCAAAATCCTCTCCGGCATTGTCGTGCCCGATTCGGGGCGCTGCGAGGTTCAGGGCCGCGTCCCTTGGCAGGACCGCATTGGCCACGTCAGCCGCATTGGCGTGGTCTTTGGCCAGCGCACCCAATTGTGGTGGGATCTGCCGGCCATTGAGTCCTTTGATCTGCTGCGCGACATCTACAAAGTGCCCCACGCCGCCTACCGCCGCCGGCGCGACGCGCTCATCGCCATGTTGGAACTTTCTTCCTTCCTCGACGTGCCCGTGCGCCAACTCAGCTTGGGCCAGCGCATGCGCTGCGATCTGGTGGCGGCCCTGCTCCACGGCCCGCGCCTGCTCTTTTTGGACGAGCCGACCATTGGCCTCGACGCGGTTGCCAAACTAGCAATGCGCGATTTTATCAAAGAACTCAACCGCCAAGAGGGCACCACCGTCATCCTGACCACCCACGACATGGACGATATCGAAGCCCTGTGCAACCGGATCATGGTCATCGGCGACGGCACCATCCTCTCCGACGGCAGCCTCGCCGATTTGCGCGCCCGCGTCTCGTCCGAGCGCCGCCTCATCGTCGATCTCGTCGATCCAGCGGCGACCATCGAAGACGAGGCCGCTCGCGTCGTGCAGCGCGACGGCCCCCGGGTGCATCTCAGCTTTGCGCCCGAACGCATTTCAGCCCCGGCCCTCATTAGCCGTATCACGGCCCGCCACGAGGTGCGCGATCTCTTTGTGGAAAACCCGCCCATTGAGGAAGTCATCGCCCAACTCTACCGGGATCGCCCTTGATGCGGCCCTATCTGGCCGTCCTCAGCGCCCGCATCCGCATGTTGCTGCAGTACCGGGCCGCGGCCCTCGCCGGCATGAGCACGCAGCTATTTTGGGGACTCATTCGGGTGATGATCTTCGAAGCGTTCTATCGCACGGCGACCCAAGCGCAGCCCATGACCTACGCCGAGTGGTCAATTATGTCTGGCTCGGTCAGGCCCTGTTCGCCCTCTTGCCTTGGACACCCGACAACGACGTGCGCACCATGGTGCGGACAGGCACGGTGGCCTATGAGTTGGTGCGGCCCGTTGATCTGTACGCCTTTTGGTACAGCCGCGCCCTCGCCAACCGCATCGCCCCCACTCTGCTGCGCTCAGCGCCGTTGTTCTGTCTGGCCTTGCTCTTCTTCGGCCTGCAAGCTCCCGCGTCCCCGGCTGCGGCTGCGGCTTGGGCCTTGGCCATGGTGGGCGCTGTCCTCCTAGGCGGAGCCCTGTCCAACTTGGTCAACGTCTCCTTGTTGTGGACCATCGCCGGAGAAGGTACCATTCAAATGCTGGGGATATGCATCTATGTCTTTTCGGGCATGGTGATCCCCTTGCCGCTGTTTCCCGACGCATTCCAACCTATACTCGACTTCATGCCTTTTCGCGGCTTGGCCGATACCCCTTTCCGCCTCTACATGGGGCACATTCCCGCGTCTCAAGTCTGGTCGGTGGTGGGGCACCAGCTCGCGTGGACGCTAGCCCTGGTGGGGTTGGGCCGCTTCCTCCTCTATCGCGGCACCCGCCGCCTAGTCGTCCAAGGAGGCTGACGCCGTGCTCGATGGACTGCGCCTGTACGGCCGCTATATCGACATCTCCTTCCGCAGCCAAATGCAGTACCGGGCCTCTTTTGTCATGCTGTCCGTGGGCCACGGCCTAATGACCGGCCTGGAATTCTTGGGCATCTGGGTGCTCTTCGACCGCTTCGCCGCCCTCGACACTTGGAGCCTGCCCGAAGTGGCCTTTTTTTACGGCCTGATCAATATCGCCTTTGCCCTGTGCGACGCCTTCTCGCGCGGCTTTGACCAGTTCGCCTCCACGGTCAAAAGCGGCGACTTCGACCGCTTGCTGCTGCGCCCTCGCAGCACGGCCTTGCAATTGGCCGGACAAGAACTCACCCTCAAGCGCATCGGCCGCCTCACCCAGGGCTTGGTCGTCCTGCTGTGGGCCTCACATGCCCTAGACTTGGCTTGGACGCCGGACAAGCTGCTCCTCGCCTTGCTCACCATCCTCGGCGGCGCTTGCCTGTTTTACGGCCTCATAGTCCTGCAGGCGACGCTCGCTTTTTGGACTACCGAGAGTTTGGAAATCGTCAACACCGTAACCTACGGCGGCGTGGAGACAGCCCAGTACCCACTGGCGATCTACCGCGAGTGGTTCCGCCGCTTTTTCACCTACGTCATCCCCCTCGCCTGCGTCAGCTATTACCCGGCCTTGGGGATTCTGGAGCGCCCCGACCCCTTGGGTTCAGGCCCGTTATTCCAATGGCTAGCCCCGACCGTGGGTCTGCTCTTTTTTGTGATCTGTCTGCACGTCTGGCAAGTGGGCGTGCGGCACTACCGCTCTACTGGGAGCTAACTAGTGCCGCCGAACATTGGCCCCGACGATCGGGTTGGCTTCGTCATCTGCCGAGGTATCTCGTTTACCTTGATACGGTCCGGCAGACATGTACCTTTCTTCCTCGGAGTGCCACGCCGTCAATAGGGAGGAAAAAGCAATGAAAGTCCGACCTGACCTCGTCCCAGAGACCGAGCGGGACAATCTGGAAGTCATTCAGCTCACGGATGAGCCGATCCCCTCATCACATATCTATATGGAAGCGCAGATCTTCACGCCCGATTCACAGCGGCTGATCCTCCACCGCTCAGCGCACCCGCACGGCTCTGATCCGCAGGACCCCGAGCACCAGTTTCTGGTTTGCAACCTAGAAGACAATTGCAGCCTGACGCCGATCACCACCGAGCGTGGAACGACGGGGCCGTCTATCTCACCAGATGGTGCCCACCTGTACTACTTCGTCAATGAGACAGAGCCTGGGGGCGGCGGACGACTGACGCTGAAGCGGGTCGGGCTGGATGGGTCTGAACGCGAGATCGTCTACGTCCTCGATCACGCGATTCCGGAGACCGATTTCAGGTTGAGCCGACCGTATCCGCTTTCGACGATTTCATCCGATGGCGGGCGCATCGCCATCTCGGGCTTCCTCGGGGACGGCCAAAGCGCAGGGGCACCCTGGGGGCTGCTCGTCTTCGAGCTCGAAGAGCCATCCGTACGGTTGGTCTTTCACGGTCCCACCTGGTGCAACATGCACCCGCAGTACACGCGTCAAACGGACCCCGTGGCTTCCCACGACATCATGATCCAGGAAAATCACGGGAATACCGTTGCCGCCGATGGCAGGCTGGAAAAGCTCGTCAGCGGGCTGGGCGCGGACATCCACCTGATCCGGGACGATGGCACGAACCTGCGCGACTTCCCCTGGGGCAGGGATGGGAACGAGTTCTGTCAGGGGCATCAGTGCTGGCAGGGCAGATGCGACATGGCCATCACCAGCACCTCGACGCGCGAACCAGACGAAAGACAGCTCATCTCGGGAAGGGCGGTAGCGCACGTCGGCGATGAAGGCATCAACGCGCCGGGCGGATGGCGCAACGACCTGTCCCGCTCCTTTGACGGGCCCGATTTCTGGCATTTCGCAACGGACCTAGACGGGACCCGTTTGATCACAGATGCGGGCCCGAGAGACAGGGGCGGCGCGGTCTGGCTATTCGACCTTCCCGAGGAAGAGCAAGGCGCTCTCGCGAATGCGCGGAAGATCGTGGACCCCGGATCGTCCTGGCAGAAGGAAACCCACATCCATCCTTTCTCTCGCCAGATGGCGGATCGGGCTTCTTCAATTCCGATGAAAGTGGCGTGTTGCAGGCCTATATGGTGCGCGGCTGGCAAGTGAGCGTGCGGCACTACCGATCCAATAAGGCGATGACCATGAGCCAGCCCAAGCGCATCGCCCACGCCGATCTGGAACAATTCTTCCTCGACGCGCTCGCAGCCGCAGGAGTACCGCCGCACGTGGCCGCAGTCGAAGCCCAAATCGGCGCGGAAGTGGACCTGCACGGCGGCCACACCCACGGCGTCGCCTTGTTGCCCTCGGCGATCAATTATATCCGCCAGGGAATTTTGACGCCCGATCCCCGCTTTGAAACCATCGTCGAGTACCCAGCCTCCCGGCTGATTGACTGCGGGAGGCGGCATTGGTCGCTTCTCTTCGGCGCAGGGCATGGATTGGGCACTCGAACGGGCAGACAATACGGCGTGGGCACCTGCGTCGTCCGCGCGTTGGGCACTGGGGGCGCGGGCATAGCTATGCTTTGCGGGCCGCCCGCGCCGGGCTGGTCGGCCTAGCCTTCACCAACGCGTTCGCCAACTTTCCCGCCTGGGGTACGCGCGTCCCTTCCCTAGGCAACAATCCCCTCGCCATTGGCATCCCCACCGCCGACGGCGAGCCCGTGGTCCTCGACTTGGCATGACCCAATCCTCCATAAGCCGCGTGCGACAGGCCGAGGCCGCCGGACGCAGCATCCCCGAAGGTTGGGGCCTCGACGAGCGCGGAAGGCCCACTACGGATCCGGGTGACTTGCTGCAATCGTGGCGCTTCTTGCCCATGGGTCAGCACAAAGGCTCGGGACTTGCTTTTATGGTCGATCTGCTCACGGCTGGACTGGCCGGCGGCCTCCTCGCTTTTGAGCAGGGCACCGAGGGCCGGCCAACGGATTCGGCCGGCGGCTCGACCAAGTGCTTTATCGCCCTCAAGCCCTTTGGCGACTGGCTGCACGACCGCAGCGCCGATCTGAAGGCCCATATTAAATCGGTGGAAGCAGCACCCGAGCAGGGCCTAGTGCAGTGGCCGGGCGAAGGCAGCTATCAGCGGCGCGCCGACTACCTAAAACACGGAATCGCCTTCGAAGCCACCTTGGCCGACCAAGTGGACGAACTGGCCCGCGATTTGGCAGTACCAATCCGCTGGGCTTGATGTGGGGCACATTCCCGCGTCCCAAGTCTGATCCGTCGCATGGACGCTGGCACTCCTCTACCGTCTCCCAACTAACCCAATAGCAAAAAGGAGAAACCCGTCATGGCTTCCGTTAAACTATTAGTATTCGTCGGCACCGAAGGCATCTACCACGACCACGAAGGCCAAGGCCGATTTCTGACCGACCTGCTGAACCAAGACGCCCAGATCGAGGCCGATTTCTCGCGCGACTACGAGATTATGGCCAGCGGCCTCAACGCGTATGACGCCACTCTGTTCTTCACGGATGTCGGCCACTTCACCCAAGCCAGGAACAGGGGCTTTTGCACTTTATCGAACGCGGCGGCGGCTTCTTTGGCCTGCACACCGCAGACGCCTCCTTCCGCGACAACGCCGGCTATCACCAAATGCTCAACGGCTTCTTTGACGGCCACAGCCCGTACATGGATTTCACCGTCACCATCTCCGACCCCGATCATCCTAATGCCACCGGCCTCGAAGACTTTGCCGTGACCGACGTTGCACGACCAAGCACGATCACGAGCGAGCCAGCTCGCGCACCTCTGCACGGCCTATCGACCGCCGCGACGAGACCCACGTCATGGCCTATCATCACACTTATGGTCATGTTAGGCCGGGGCCCCGCCCGACCGAGTGCTTCTCTTTGCCTGGGCACGATAAGCGGTTCGGTGCTTAAGAAACAAACCTCCTTCCAGGAAGTGGTGCGCCGAGGTGCCCTGTGGGTGGGCAAGAGGTTGTGATTGTGCCGCGCAGACGCTATCTGCTTCTTTCTAGATTGCGGGACGTGGGCAAGTCCAGCCCGAAGGACCAATTAGGGACTGACGTACGCACGGGCTTCACGTGTAGGAGATGCTTCGACTCCGCCTTCGCTGCGCAGCATGACACAGAACGAACGCGCCATAGTGGCGAGACGGGCTGGCTATTGCGCCCCTTTTTCGACGCAGTGGTCGTCTCCGGCGATGTCGGCGTCAAAAAGCCCGATCCGGCAATTTTTACCCCGGCACTGGAGCAGACGGGGTTGGTGGCTGACGAGGCCCTCTTCGTCGGCGATTCACCGGAAGACGACGTAGCAGGGGCTAGGGCGGCGGGGCTGCGGCCGGTGTTGATTCGGCGGTCGCTCGGCGGATGGCTCTTCCGCAAAGCCAGAATGGACGGAGGAGCAGGACGAGTGGTGGCGGGTGAGGGAAGTGGTCGGTTAGTTGGTTAATAGTGCATTAATCCAGTTTGCTATCCCAGAAAAGGAGCACATGATGACAACGGACGGAACGGTTTTACAAACGGGCGACCCAGCGGCTGTCGGCATGTCGGCCGCCCAACTCGAACGGGCCTTCGGCCTGCTCACGGCTGCTATCGAGGCGGGCCAGATCAGCGCGGCCTCGCTGACAGTAGCGCGGCACGGCCAAGAGGTCTTCGCACGCGGGGCGGCCAGCGGAAACCAGGCAGCGGCCAGCCGGTCGATGCGGATTCGATTTTTCTCCTCGCGTCGATCACCAAGCCGGTCACCGCTTGCGCGCTGATGATCCTGGTGGATCGCGGGCTAATCTCGCTCGACGACCCGGGCCGCCGACTATCTACCCGAGTTCACGGGCGGCGACCGACCCTCCATCAAGGTCCGCCACCTGCTATCGCACATATCGGGAATGCCCGACATGCTGCCGGAGAATGTCAGCCTGCGGCGGGCACACGAGCCGGTAGAGGTCTTTGTCGAGCGTGCCATGCAGACGCCTCTGCTCTACAAACCGGCGACCGATTTCCGCTACCAGAGCAAGGGCATCCTGCTGGCGGCCGCGATCGTCGAGCGCGTCAGCGGCCAGCGGTTGCGCGACTTTGAACGCGAGGAAATTTTCGCGCCATTGGGCATGGAGCGCAGCGCGTTGGGCATGGGCGATTGGCCGATTGAGGATACCGTGTGGTGCGGGACGGACACCGAAGAGGACGAAGAGCTGCGGAGTTGGGGGTGGAATTCTCCGTACTGGCGCGATTTCGGGGCACCGTGGGGGCGGCATGCACAGCACCGGACGCGATCTGGCGGTCCTCTTGCAAACCATGCTCAACGGCGGCGCGTACGGCGACCAGCGCATCTTCAGCCGGGCTGCGGTCGCGGCGATGACGCGAGACCAAAATGGCACGCTCGACGCGCCGTGGGGCCTTGGATGGGGCGTGTGCGGGGCGCGGGTGTGGGCGTTTTGGGGCGATCTGGTGTCGCCGCACACCTTCGGCCACACCGGGGCGACTGGCACGGTGGCGTGGGCGGATGCGGAGCGCCAGCTAAGCTGCGTGGTGCTGACCAACCAAATGGTCGCCAACGGGAGCTTGCTGCGGCGGGTTTCCAACGCGGTATCGGCAGCCGTGGAGGAAGACTAGTATCCAGATCCCTTCCGAGTCCAATCGATCCAATTAACCATTAAAAATTAATTTTATTAATTTTATTATTGATTTTTTAAATTATATAGATATAATTATGTCCAAATTTAATTATTTGGAGGTATAGCCATCAAAGACTGGAAAGAGCTAACCGATCTGACGAAGGGGGCGCGTATCGTAGTGGAGCGGGTTTCCCTGCCGGACAGCGCCATCGCGATCGAAGGGCAATTCGAGCCGCCTGTTCTGGCGCGTCTTTCCGCCGAGGACCAGGTATTCGCAATGGCCTTCGTCCAAGCCCACGGCTCGATCAAAGAGATGGAGCGCATATTTGGCATCAGCTACCCGACGGTCAAGAACCGGTTGAATGCCATTGCAGAGCAGCTACAGTTCGTCGAGACGGTACCTCAAACCACGGAATCGGCTAGCCCACCACGCCCGAGTCCTCAATCGGCGGCAGTACTCGACAGCCTAGAGAGCGGCGATATCGACGTCGAAGAGGCGCTGCGGAGGCTCTCCTAATGCTGCCACCGATGTTCCTGAGAGTACGGGTCCAGGGTGACAAACGCCGCATTCGGCTGTGGATCCCGCTCATAGTGCTATGGCCGGTCATTGCCGTCGTGGTGCTGCTGGGGATGCCTGTTGCATTAGTAGTAGCGGCGCGCTCGGGGTACCGTACTCGGGTCCGCTCCGTCCTGCTGGCCGGCCCCTTGCTTCTATACGTGCTGGCCTCGTTGCGCGGCCTACGCTGCGACGTAGCCTCCGGCGAGGATCGCGTGTTCATTTCAATCGACTAGGAGGCTGTGATGACTGAAGAGCGACGCAGAGTCCTCGACATGCTCGCGGAGGGGAAGGTAACTGTAGAGGAGGCCGAGCGTCTCTTGGAGGCGCTGCAAGGCACCCACCGCGTCGAAACCCGCAAGGGACGCGGAATTGGGGCGCTGCAAGACACCCTCGAAGGACTCGGAGAAGAAATCGAAAAAGGACTCGAAGAAGGACTTGAAGAATCCCTATCCGGGTGGTCAGAGAGCGAAAACGACGCCCGCGACAAGGACGGCAAGACGTCCATGCGCGACGACACTTTCGCAGTGGGCGACAACCCGCGTCTCGTGGTGCGCGGCTTCAACGGCCGCATCCGGGTCCATGCCGGCGAACCCGGCTCGATTCGCGTGCGGGCCAAGCTGAAAAAACCTCACGGACTCAAGTACAGCGCCGTGCAGGAAGGCGACCTCGTCACGGTCGAGGCTAAGCCTGATCAGCAATCCGAGGGATTCCTGCACGGATTCTCCCGCCAGCACTCTGGAGCAAACATTGAGGTGACGGTGCCCGTCGCGACTAACGTTGACTTGGCGACTAGCAACGGGCCGGTGGAACTCCAGGGAACGGAAGGCGGTGGGGCGGTGCAGACCAAGAACGGGCCCATAAGGGTCGAAAATTTCAGGGGCGACCTGAACGCGACGACCAAGAACGCCCCAATCACGGTCAAGACGCTCTCAGGCTCGGCGGAACTCGCCACCGTAAACAGTCGCGTGTCCATCGAGGACGCACACGGCCGCTTCGATGCGCGGACGACCAACGGATCGATAAAATTACAGGGGAGCATTGCGCCTGGAAACGACAACAGACTATTCACCTCGAACGGCAACATCAAGGTAGCCCTAGACGCCGAGCCGAGCCTCAAGCTAACGGCTGCGACGGTCAACGGGCGAGTCCGCTGCGAAATACCGGGCTTCGTCGCGTCGGTCGAGAAGCGCCACAAACTCCAAGGAACGGTAGGCGAAGGCGAGGCCGAACTGACCGCCAAGACCGTGAACGGCTCCATTGCAATTCAGTAGCCAAGCGCAGCAACGAACAGGAGGACAGCCATGAACGAAAACAGCAGACGCGTACTCGAGATGCTATCGGAGGGCAAGGTGTCCGTCGATGAGGCCGAGCGCCTGATTTCCCTCGTTGACGAGGGGCCAGAGGCGACCACAGTGGTGCAGCCGCTAGCATCCCCCCGCACGGGAGCGGCTCGATATCTGAGGGTCACCATCGACTCGGACGGTGAGGAGCACGTCGACGTCCGGGTGCCGCTGGCGCTGATCAAGGCCGGAGTCAAGCTGCACAACCTGCTTCCGGATCAGGCGGCGCAGGGAATCAACAAGACGATGGAGAGAAACGGCATCGACATCGACATTCACAACCTGCGAACCGAGGACCTCGATCAGCTCATAGACGCACTAAGCGATATCGAGGTCAATATCCAAGACGAGGGACAACAAGGTCCGGGTGTACTGTGAGTAATCCAAAATCACTGAAGCACATGAGATTGGAGCTGATTAGTACTATGCGCGTATTCAAATGGATATTGCTGGTCGCCATCCTCGGCTTATGGGGGAGTGGGGACCGTCTGGGCGGAGAAGGAAAAAGAGGAGGCCGTCGAGGAAGAGGCTGCTGAGAAGGAAGATGAGAGAAGAAGATGAAGAGATGAAGACGAGAGACAAAGACCCCAAATTTGCGAAAGTGATCAAGGACTTTGACAAGATCGAAGGGCTGTTCGAGCTGTACCGGGATCCAGAGGAGAACAAAGTGTTCTTGGCCATTCGGCCCGACCAGTTCGACCAGATCCACCTGTG